TCCATAAAACACCATTAAAATTTAGATTTATAGCTAATGGAACTAATAATTACAAGAAAAATATAGACTATTATTTTTTCAATTCAACTTAATAAAACCTGTAAATTTATTTTCAATGATTGTAACACTAATCATAACTATTGCTGGATCATTCATAATAACACTCCTGTCATTAATACCATTCATACCATTAACATCCAAAACATTAACTGCTATGATTTTGAAAACTTATATACCTCACTTCCTCTAGAAGAAATCTATACCAGTCTACTTGATCTAACCAAAACTTTTCCCTAATATACTCAATATCATGACTCTTGACAAATGGAAAACCTACCTAAAATGCACACTTTTTCATAACTACATCAAGTTTCAAAATCAACTTTTTAAACAAGTCAGAGGATTGCCAATGGGCTTACATTCCAGCACCTCGATCTGTAATATCTTTTTATTTGTCAAAGAATTTAACTTCCAAAAAAATCTACAACCACAAGAGTTAAATTACTACAAACACACCTACAGATATATTGATGACCTTATTACAATTAATAATTTTGGTAAAATTGAAAACTCCGAGATTTATCCGAATTGTCTTACACTTAATAAAACTAATAATTCACAAAATAGCATAGACTTTCTAGATCTTCAAATCATTAACTACAAAAAAAATTTTACTTTTTGACAAAACAAGAAACTTCAATTTCAATACTAACAAATTAATAAATTGGAACTCCAACATATCCAAAAAAGTAATTAACAATACTATAATTAATCAAATACAACGAATTAAAACTATATTGCACAGATACAATAGATTTACAACGCGAAATTTTGATCCTTATTCAAAATTCTCAAAAATAATCTAATACCCATTCAATTTATCAACCATTGCCTTAAAAGAGCAGGCGTTAAATACTCACTCTAAATCATTTAACTGATAGGGATATGATAATTTGTTCCTAAACCTGAGAAGGCGGCGGTATAAGTTGGATGACTATCAGTTGAAGGATTTGTATATAGTGTAATTACTCAATTGTATATATTGTAAAAAGCTAATTGTCTTCAGACATATACTGTTACTATACTGTTACTAAAAAAAAAATGGGCCTATTTCCTGCCTTTAGACTGTCTAATTAGCTCTTGGACAGTGAAAAATGCCTTTTTCCTTTCTTAAATTCTTAATCATTGTGACACGACAATTAGCCAGAAATTAATTAATTTCCATTCACTAGTATTTTCAAAAAAATCTTAACAGACGGTCTCCTCAGATAAGAACTCCACAAATACATCCCTCAAGAATTCCAAGTCCCACCCACTACCATAAATTACTTCACCCAAGTCTTACCGACTGATATTATTCAAAGCCCCCCACTGCCGCTAAGAATTTTCGGACACCCTACACTTCTGAGTCAGACACGAAGAGAACACTTTGCCAACTCCCCCACTAGAAAGAATGTAAGTTACTTAATACCTTTCTGGCCTTTTTATCTTCATGTACATTCACTGATCTTATTTATATTATTTTTATGTTTTCTTTGATTTGTTTTTACAAAGTTTGCATTATTTATTTTTTTTATAATCTTCTATGTTTATTTCAACTTTACTTTGAATTTGATTTCATAATGACAATTTCCAATGTTTAATTTCTACAAATAATATAGTACTCAAATACATAAAGATGATAGTGTCGGGGATGGTTACTCGAGTTTTACAGGATTTCTCTACAGTAATTGATTTTTACTCAAAATTGAATTGACTAAAATGCTTCATGAGAATAAGTTCTTTGAGTAGCAACTATTCGCGGAAATTTTTGGCCTGACTAGAATTGCCGGTTTGGCTTTAACTTATAACTCGAGTAAAGACGAAACACTTTCATATTTACGTATTTTTATCAATTATTGTTCATTGAACGGGAGTTGGTTTGTTCCCCTTGAAAAGTCAACTAATTTCCGATCAATGACAATAATTACATGTTTTACTTTTTCCTTTTACAATTGATATATTGTTCTTCGTGATGATTTAACTCCAGTCCCTGTTCAAACATTATTAACATTTTGCTTTCAAATTACTTCAAAACATCTTTCAAAATATAACTTACCAGTATGGATGCACACTTTTAAAATAATTCTACTTTAATTAAACTTAGGAGATAATATAATCAATTAATCAATACTGTTTAGGAATAAATTATTATTATATTATATATATATATATATATATATATACAAATGTTTTTCATCATGCATAATAATAAATGCATAAATTTCCAATGTTTCAATATTCAATATGTAGCATTTATAATAAAAGTATAGTTTCTAACGTATTTATAATCCAAAAAGTATTTCATTAATAACATGAAAATAATAGACACATTTAATGAGTATTCTCATTATTACATAAGCTATGCTTTTCTTTTTTATGAATCTTTTATGCTGTTTAAAATGTGTCACTGATTATGCAATTAACAATTTAAAAGATAAGTAATTAGGAGGAAAGCCACCCATATACAAACGGATTTTTAAAAAAATTATTAATCTTAAATTTAAGAAATAAAATTCTATTATATAACAATGATAATACATGATCAGCATGAAATACGACAAATTTGGCAAACTTTTGTCGACGAACAATTTGTAAACAAATTCGAACTGCAAGAACGTCGTAAAATATAGTCACCTCTGAAATTTCCACTATTATATATTTAATGAATATATAAACATTTTAAAAATGACTCAAGCAGTTATATTGCAACAAAACAGCAATAATTAAATCAGCCTCTATTTCCACCATCCATGACTTCACAGTGAGAGCCATCGCCATATTGAAAGTTACCCGTGATCCTTCAGAAGCAGAACTTTCGTCTGATTGGTTGAACATACGAGGAACACGTCTCCAGACGGATCATTTTCGGGAAAGTAAATGTTGCTCATAGCCGGGACATGTTGCGCCTAGCTAGACGAAACATTTCTCGAAAGCCTTCCGCTTAAAGCAGTGTTACTAGAATCTCATTTCTTGGATATGTCCCGCATAGCCACGCGCTTCCCTAGAAGTGATAGCCTCTTAAAAGTAAGCGAAAGACACAAAATTTAAAAAAAAAGTTTTTTACTCAAACAGAAACACCAGCTAATACCGCACAGTCATTACTTTCATCATTTCAGAAACATCCTCCTCTTCTCTGAAATAGTATACTATCCTCCTTCGCATACTCTGTCAAGGTCATTGTGGTGTTGCATTCCAAAGCATTGCGAATAATTTTACGGGTAGCAGCGCAAAGCAAATGATAGTATTTCAGAAGGGTGTATATATATATACACTCGGGGCAGTTAAGGGATTAAAGAAAAGTTAGTTTCAAAACTGATTTCTTTATACAGCTGCAGTTTGTTATAAGAACTTATTTGCTGAACAGATGATTTTTTGGCTTGCAGCTAGAAATAGAATTTTTATACCTCGCAAATTGCAAACAAAAGGCTTAATGAGAGGGATTTTATACCAAAAAGCCAACAGTTTATGCTTCACTGATTTTACAACAAGAGAAGATCTACTTAAATTGATGCAAAGAACATCTGAGCTGGAGTCTACACAGGCCAAAGTTCCTTTCTTTGAACAGTCAAGGTTTAGTTTAAGATCTAATTCTAAATCCTTTTACATTTTGAGGTAGCCCAAAACATAGAACACTCCAATATTGAGACATCTGATCATTACAGAGGTGCAAATATAACGGCATTTAAAGGAATAATGATACAAGAGATACTACTTACATATTCACTGGATGATTTGCATCTGCCCAGAGATAGTAACATGGTCTTACAACCTGCGTATTATTTTTTTAAATGTACGCGTGAATTTTAACATTTTCTTACAAATTATCTCTCATCCAAATCCACCTGGTTGTGGATTTCTTGACAATAAAGACATTGAGCAAATGAACTGACCAGCAAAATCTGATCTGAGTCCCATACAGAATTTGTGACATTTTTGGAAGACTGAAGCATGGCAAAATTTTCCTTCTAGATATCTCAATGCCTTGAAGACCATGCTGGTAAAGCTTATTCTCCTCAACTCTAATTAATCATATACTGAAAGCAATGAATGAAAGCAATATAAAGGGAGTCATATTTCCTCTTAATGGGAAAGTCTGCATTTGTTTATTAACATTTTTTTTTGAAATTTTTAATAATTATTTCATTTTTATTGTTTACATAACAGAGTTTTGTCTTGTACTCATTCATATCTGATTTTTCTGTTTTCATGTTATGATACAGCATTTCATTCTAAATAAATTTATTCAATTTTATTTAAGCTTTTGAGTTTCTGCGCACATAATTTTGGAGATCAGACACATTAAAAAATCCCAACTGAGCAAATTATTTATTTCCTGGCATAATTAAACATATATTAATACATATTTCTCATAATCAGAACGCATTTTGACCCTTTTATTACTACTAAATTTCAGATATTTTCTTTCAGTAAAAAATATAAAAATAAGAATACAAATTAATATGAAAAAAAAACAAAACAAAAAAATCATAATCAATGTGAAAATTTAAAAGATAGTCATGGTTAGACTAGCAGTAAAAGCATTTATTACCCCCTGAATGCGAATTATTACGCAAAAGTCTTCATGTAATGCATAATACTTCACACTATTAATAAACTAACCTGTAGCTTTAAAATAGTTAATTTTAAATACTAAACATGCTAAAATATTATATAGCACAAATCATCTCGTACACAAAATACATTAGCACAAATCATCTCGTACACAAAATACATAAGTTATTTAAATTAAAAATCTTTTTTCTTTTGGTTCAATGATTAACAAAATGTACACAGTTGAAAAATATATTTGGATCGAATTACTAAAAATACAATTTAAAAGAAATTTAGCTTACTTACAAGCATATGTTTTGGAAAGTTAAAAAAAAAAAAAAAAAGAAAAAAAAAAAAAGAAATGTTGAACAGATTTTAATTTATAAGCAACAAGAGAGGAGTCTTACCAAATTTACTAATGGACCACCAGAATTCCCAACATTAATAGCAGCATCAGTTTGTATATAATCAGACTTTTTATGTAAACCCAGTTCTTTGCCTTGCCTATTTACAGAACTAACAACTCCAGCAGTGATTGTGTGGCTCAGAGTTAAAGGATTTCCCATTGCAATAACAAATTCTCCTGGTCGCAACTTGGATGACTGGCCAAGTGGAAGGACAGGCAAATTTTTCTACAAAATTTAAATAAGTTATACGGATTATATTCAAATTTAGCACAAAGTCTGTAAAAATTTATTAATAATTTAATTTTCATACTATGCTACACAAAAGTCTATGATGGATAAGATGCAAACAAAGAAAAACACTCATTGAATTATAAAAAAGCTTTACCTGCCTCTGGGATTCATGCAAGACAGAGAATCAGAACACAATAGAACACTATCATAAATTATTAATATTTATATACTAGAAAGCATAAAAAGTCCCCCATAACTAATCTACTTCTATTATAAACAATGCAACTCCTGAATTCCTGGGCGTAAGGTCCAACCCTGATCGAAAAATAAACATTTCAAAACTATTCTTTTTTGTGAGAGAAGAGTTTATAAAATATTTATGAGAAGTCCACAGTATTTATGAACAGCCTATTACACTGTTTCACAATTGTTAAGGAACAGTTACATTTTTTGAAATAATTAATAATAGGTATTGACTGAAGTAATTTTGTAGAGAGACACATTTTGTAGAGAGAGTGTGCAATTATTGTTATGCAAAATGGTACAGCTACTGCCATGTCAAAGAATAAAAAAAATAAATAAATAAATAAATAAATAAAATAAATAAAAAAAAGAGCGCTCTTTGGTTGATTTCCAAACAGCCATGAAAAATGGGTCTTCTTGCCACAATGGAACAGATATGTGTACCTAAGTAAAATGTGTGATTACCTCGGACACTAATGCACATTTTGCATTTGTTATTCATGTTTTCCACTAAACTACTGAGAAGTCCTTGGGGGATACTGTCTCATTCCTCTCTCAGGGCAGTTTTCAGCACTTGCACGTTTCGGCGACGGAGTGTTCTCTGCAAAACATATCTGCCAAGGTCATCTCAGACATGCTCTACAGAATTTAGGTCCAGGGAGTAAGCAGGCTATTGCATACGGACAATATCTTCACTCTCTAATGTGTCCAATACCTCAGCGCTCCTGTGTGGTCTCGCACTGTCATCCATAAACAGAAAGTGTGGATCTAATGCACCCCTAAACAGATGAACATGATCTAGAATAATTTATGTGCAATACCGCTGTGATTTTACCCTAGCTCCTTCAATGCTGTGAAGCCGTGTTCCGCCATTGAGCATGATGCCTGACCACACCAGCATGCATGGGCCATACCGATCATGTTCATGGACATACTGTTGTGCATAACGTGTTCCCCTCTCTTTCCACACTAACGGTAGCCAGAATGACTCGTCACAGTGAAACGGGATTTGTCAGAGAACATCACTCTGGACCATTATTGGTGACCCTCAGCCAATATATTCCTTACACCAATGTAATCTTTCTCAATGATGGCGTGGTTGAAGAGTGATACATCGTACAGGCTTCTGTATACATACAGATCAACTGCATTTAATCACCGTGAGACGGTTCTGGCAGAAACACGTGTACCCATTGTGGCTGGAAGGTCTGCAGCTATCTGACATAAAGTGACATTTGCTTCTTTTCACTACTAGGGATACATGAAGATTCTCTTGAGGTGTGGTGTTCCTACCATGAACACCAGCATGCTTTTGCATAGTATTTCCACCCTCAGTGGCTTTCTTTAATTGTGAGATGACACTTTTTGACACTCCTGTTGCTGTGACACTTTGACCTGCTTCTGGCTGCCCAACTGCTCCTCCATGATCGTAATCACTGAGATGATGTTTTGCACTTAATTATTGCAACATTACACTAAATTTCTCAGAAATAAGTTCAGTAATGTACAGCACTCTTTTGGCCAAACACAGCATAAATTTTCAAATGAATGAAGAGCTTGTATGCACTACCTTTTATACAAATAACAAGTGCTGCTTTACTATGGCCTTTGCAGTTGATTTTACTGTTATTGGTCAGCTTTCTAGAATGCTACTTTGCATAAAACGGTTGTTCCTTCCCAGTTGCCAAGGAGTGCATAAATTATAAAGATTTCCATAACATTTTAGCAGGACTGCAGGGAAAAAATTCTATGTCTGGTGACAAAAATAAATCAGTCTATTTAGCAGAAGCTAATTACAAAATAAAACTATTGTCATTCTGATATTTTAGTGAACTATCCAACAGCAAGTTTTACTAAATAATATACTCATAAATAGAGTCAAATACATTTTAACCGTATCAGACAATTCTTTTTCCCCATTTTGTCATGCTTTTGTACTTGAAAGCTACTGACAATTTAGTTTGTTGCTTAATCTATGTGGACTTGAGATGGGTATATTTTTCTTCTGTAAAAAAAACTGGCACGATACATGAAGCAGCTAAACTCCATGGGGAACTGAAAAAATTGAACCAATTAGAAAGGACCATTGTGCTAGGAATTTTTGACATCATTTTTGTTCACCAAATGGAATTTTGTTTGCAAAACTGGTATGCGAGAAAGTGCTCATTAATGTTATGGTAATTCTTCATAATTCTTGGATAGAAGTACAGTCAAAAGTCGTTAATCCGAACTCGTCAGGACTTCGACGATTCCGGATTATCGATTTTTCCGGATTATAGATCATCAGTTTAAATCTCGTAAGATGGCATGCAGAAATTCTAAAATTAAAAATATGAAACCGTAATTTATGAAATAAAGAACAATTATTATCTAAAGGGTATCAAAATTTACAAAAAAAAAAGCTTAATATTTATTTGTTTACTTTATTAAACATTTCTTTCAATGTAAGTTGTTTAAGTTGCTTCGTTTTATGTGATAATACTTTCTCTTTAATTCTATAAACAGACATAATTTCTTGTTCAGTTACAAAGTTCCGCTGTTCAAGTCCCGTAATTGCTGTGCCGAGAATACCGACTAACTTGTCAATCGAAATTTTTTTTGTTTTCACTAACCTCTCTGTCACCTTCTTCATGTCTTTATCAATTTTTTGCACCAATTCCACTTTTTGTTTGATGGACATCGAAACATACTTTCGTTTTGTAGATCCTTTGGGAGCTCCAGCATCGGAAATTCTATTTGACATAATTGAAAGTTCAAGTTTACTTTTATAAAATTGCTCTTACAGTCTGCAAAAAAATAATAAGCTGGATCCAATTCGAAGATCATCGCAATCATCAACATTAACTGAAATATATAATTAGATAATTTTAGCTTATACCGTCTGTTATACATTAAACGCGCACGCGAAAACGTATTCTGCGTTTGCGCACACGCATATGCGCAGTCGTAAAGGTCTTACGCGCACGCGTAAACGCCTATGCGCAGAAAGTGTTTAGCTTTGAGGTCCGGATTATAGATCATTCCGGATTAAGGGTGTCCGAATTAACGACTTTTGACTGTAGTTCATTTAATTTTGTTTATTATTTTGTGGTATGCTGATATGATTTAATATCTAATTTACAGTAGGGGTGATAAGTCAAGAATGTATAATGTTTATTGTGATTAATTTAAATCTGAATTTCTAAAACAAATACAACTTTATATACTACTCAATTTGCTCTCATACCAAATAATCTTTTGGTTTTTCTCACACCCTTTATTCACTATTGATAAAAATTACTGTATTGTGAAATTTCTTCCCTCTTTGTATATTTAAAAATGCTTGGTGATATCTAGGTTCTTATTATTTCATGTCCTATAAACATCGTAAAATTCGATACAGAAAAATATTTTTAGAATGTGTCCTTTTTTTTTAAAACTACCAAGTCGCAGAAATCTCTTTTTTTGTGTGTGTGTATATTTCCATAGGCAAATCTATATTAACAAAAGCTCCTACTGAAATATAGAAAATGCAGTGATTACTCAGAAAATCTGTATATTAAAATGCTGACGTGTGATAGTTAATAAAATTTCAGCTCATTAACTCCCAAAAGAAAAAATAATTCAGAAATTAACATGAAACTTGTTTTATGCATTATTATATAGCGAAATAAATATATTTAATTTCATTGTGTTACATAAAAATAAAGATGTAATTTCTGAAGTCTTTCAGAAAAGCAACATTAGCACAAGTAATTTTTATTCATGATAAATCTGTGGAGCATTTTACAATCTATTACATTTTATACAACACTGTATGTGTTGCAATATACATCATTTTCTTTTATTGTTAGGACTTTTCTGAATAATATGCCCTAATTAATCAGTTTTACTAGTCTTCAGAGTTTGTAATTATATAGTAGGAAATCATACAATCTATTAAAAAAAATCACTTAGATTCTTAGTTTATTTTAATAATTGCAGATGAATGAAAACAAACTTCGCAGTGGAAATCATTTTAATTAAATGTGATAATTTTATTTAGCCTTTACACACATCAACTGAACATAAAAAAAAAGTATATTAAAAAAAAAAAAAAAAAAAAAACTGTTGTCACACAAAAAAAAAAAAATCTACTTTATAAAAAACATCTTAAATTACATTGTATTCATTGAATTCATTCATGTTCTGAACATCCTCCTCAAACCTTGCAATTGCAACAACTTAGTCTCTCACATCAGATTCAGCCGATTAGGAACTTTTACTTGTTTTCTGACTCTGGTAGTTATAGGTCTGCCTAGCATAAGGCACTCATTAAGAGGCTCAACTACCCTTGATGTATCTATCTGATGATCCAGATCTGTTTCTAGTAGGAAGAATCTTTGAGAATCTGCATCTTCATCTGGATTTGACGACACTTGAGCTTGGAAAATGCTCAGATAGACCTGAGGAACGAGTCTATCAGCAGTATCCAGATCCTATACATCATTGTAAAGGATTCCTTGTATAAAATATGCAGGTGTTAATGGCTTTGTCGTCACCTCTTCTATATAAGTTAGTGGTCGTGAATTCATTGTTGCTTCACAGTCACACAATACGGTTGCCAGTTCACTCTAACTTACCATTTTAGGACACAAAATTCATCTTAATTTTTTTTTCTTTTTTATTATATAGCATTGTTCTTGTGTGATACTTGAGCTGTTTTATATGTTTGGACTGATCTTTCCAATAAAGCCATATGTAACAACAACGGTTCTCTTAACATCTGTACC